TAAATAAATCTGTCCGAGGAAACTCAGGGGATCTACACATGGGCACGGTCCACCTGTCGGTTCGTCAACCTACCGGCACGGCAGAGTAACCGCCATCGCACCGGCGTGTGAAACGCCGTTTCTTGAGCTCCATTCGTTGGATCACCGAGTACGTCGAACTCGTCGATGGGTCATCGACTGTGATCACGTAAGCCAACGATCATCTGGTGAGTCATCCCTTCTTTTTTTACTTTTGGAATGGGGCGTCCGGCGAAGGCGCCACGGAGTGATTTTTGCCAGTCAGCGCCGAGTATCCGTGACACGCTTTTCCGGAACTCATGATGTGGCATTCCCGCCTGTAAATTATGCGCGCGTAAGATTTCCGACGCAACTTCATTGTCACAGTGCAGACTCATTTAGAGCTGAGTGACCGATAAGATGACGTCACACCAAGGAACATGTAAGAGCATATGAGCACGTTAGTTAGGGAGAGAGAAATCGCACACACATAGGAGAGAGGAACGAACACACAAGTTTATAGAAATCGATGAAGATAACACGTAAATAAATCTACGTAGTAAAATCTAGTAATGTTGAAATATCCGTTATTCCGTCAATACACTGTCTGAATTAGTTCGTAAAATAAATGTTTTCTTGAAACGAACCATCTCCCTAGCTTTAATTGATTGAATGCATTCTACATCACTTCGCGTTCTCCGTTGTAGTTTTCGAGTCTCATCCTCTTGTTGAGAGTTTGACTGTTGAGGAGAGTAGTCCACTTCCAGATCGGGGCGACGACTAGTGGCAAGTGACGAGACTGCCGATGAGGATAAATTCTCTTTCGTAGAGGTCTTTTTGGCATGGGTGAGCTCCAGAGTTGCGACCTATCACAATCACGATCGCCAAACAGCTGATGGCAGTAATGTTTTGTACATTCCTATCAATGTGCTCGTTGAAGCTCTCTCCATGACCATCCATCAAGTTGACGAAAGAAGTAAAAAGCACCTGGTGAATGTCGTCTTCTGTTGTGATCCATCACCGATCTGGTCATTTCCGACAATCACGATACTCATCTGTGCTCGTTTTGAAGCAGTTGCTGCTTTGCTTGCTTATGTGCGTGTGTTGGCGAGTGAGCCCAACAGCTTCCGTTTCATGTTGCCTGCTTTGTTTCTAACTCACACAGTCGCGCCTGCCGAGACGAATTTGGAATGCGTCGGCATTGTTTTTATTTTCTTCTGTCGTTTCGCTTTTTATCATGATCGTACTGCAGAAGTCTTCACTGTTTTCGTTGTGCTTTTCATTTTCAGCAGCGTGTAACGTTTTGCTTGTGAGCAGCGACCATTACTGGTGATTGTTGTTTTCCATGGCTCTAACTCTCACTGCGTGACAAAACGATCTGTCAGCGATAGTCGGTTGATGCGAAGACGAGTGTCACGTGAGTGTCATGATATTTTGCATCACTGGTGAGCTCTCACCGACTCTATGAGTGATTATCGTGTTTGTGATTTTACGGAGATAATAGGGTTTTCCCGTTTGGACGGTTAGTTGAAAGTCGGCTTGCCTGATCCGTAAATCCTTTCTAAGAAATTTAATGGACTCGCCCTTAGGAGAGTCTCAAGTTGGGCGTGTGGTCTCCCTTGTGGAGTGGCGCGTTTTAAGTCGGATCGTCCAGGCTGGCTACAAGACGTTCCTGATGCGAGATTTCTGACGTTCTCAAAGAAGGTTCCAGGCTTTACAGAAGACAATCCCTGACGTTCTCATGGAGATTCTGAACGTTCCTGAAGATGATTTCAGACATTCAAGACGATTTAAGAGGCTCCAGATTAAGACTCCAGACGTTTCCAACGGATATATCACACGTTACCGAAGGAGTTTCCAGCCATTGCCAAAGACAATTCTAGACGTTCCTGCTGCGTGATTCTGGACTTTCTCGATAGAGGTTATTAGTGTTCCCAAAGATGATTCTAGACATTCCCGAAGATGATTCCTGACGCTCCAGACACTACTTAGACACTACCAGTGCTATGTTCCTAAAATTTAAGCTAATTAGTAACACCCAATATTAACCTGCGCCCTGAAAATTTAAATCTGCCCAAAATAACTATGCACCCACCTCTTGAAGTCTTAAAAAAAATGACTTTGTTTCAAATAGTGTATTTGATAGTCTAGCTGATATGGTATGTTCCAAACATTTGCGCTTATCGCTGCTGCACGATGGCCAGCGCCGTATTCTACATATGTCGAAGGTGGCATTTGACACACAACAAAATCCCGAAGGGCGGAAAAACAATCTAGTGTTCCTTGAACACCTACAAAGTTCCCCTATCCTTACTTCATGAAATTATGTTTTATTCCTTAAATTGTTTAAAGCACCATCACTTTCTTTTCTTAAATATTATTAGACTATTGTCTTATTTTTTGAGTCTTTATGGCTCTGAGACCGATGTTAGTATTCACATTTAATTGAATTCAGAGTCAAAAAGGTATGCAATTACTTTACACAACTGTTGTGCGATCAATATTGGCCTACAGATGTCTTGTGTGGTGGCAGAAAGGAGAGATAAGAACAGTGCAGACAAAATTGAAGCATCTACAACGGATGTACTTCATGACCTTGCCTAGGGCGTTCTCTACAAATCCTACTGCCGCATTCGAAGCTTTATTCAATGTGTCACCACTATACATATACACTACCCATCTTAAGTGTGGACTCGCATAGACAAGTATTACAATCCTCATTGGAATATTGCATCAACCCCCAACAAGTTTAGCATCACCAAAATTTTTGGAAAAACCTGAAAACGGGCTGAATATGCTTAAGGAAGATATAATGTGTGTCACTGAAACGTGAAAAAGAACTGATACACTTCAGAAAAGTTCGAAATCACTTCGGAAAGCACTTAATCATTAAATGAAAAATCTAAATCCCCTCTAAAAGAATTGAAAAATTCTATAACACTTTGAAAAGTGCTGAGGTACTTCACCTGTACCATTTTCTTACATTAGTATAATTGTGTGACAAGTACAATCACACTCAATGCCCAGGGAAATCGAGAAATTTTCCAACCCGAAAAATTCCTTGACCGGGCCGGGAATACCATTAGAAAAGCGTGCTCTCAACTTACCTAGTGTTCTAAATGCACTTGTACAGTTATTTATTGAGAGTTTTCGATGCCTGTACCATTTTTTCATTAGTATAATTGTGTGGCAAGTACAATCATACTCTACGCCCGGGGAAGTCTGAACATTTTTCAACCTGAAAAAATCATAGACCGGATCGGGAATCGAACCCAGCCACCTCCAGCATGGTATTGCTTTGTAGTTGTGCCGTTACTGACTGAGCTAAGCGAGTATTCAAGTAACAGTTATAAGGGCCTCCCTTAGCTCAGTCGATAAAAGCTAAACAGCTACAAAGCAATACCATGCTGGCTGGAGGTGGCTGGGTTCGATTCCCGATCCGGTCTATGGATTTTTCGGGTTGGAAAATTTCTTGACTTCCCTGGGCATAGAGTATGATTGTACTTGTCACACAATTATACTAATGTAAAAAAAATGGTACAAGTATCGAAAGCTCTCAATAAATAACTGTGCAGGTTCCAAGCACGCTTTTCTACTGGTAAAATAGACAAACTTGACAAATCAACAAATATAAAGGGTGATACGGTCAAAATTTGGTCAAGGGAAAACGCGTGTAAATCGGTGAAATCGTTTATTTAAAAAATCAAATTAAATTTCTTTTTCAAGTTCAATTAGTATAAAATTCAGGAAAAATATTCAGTTAGGCTTCCGCTTTTCCAAATCCGAATTGCCGGGCCTTACGCTTGACCCCTGCCATCAGATTTTGTACAGCCACCTTGTCCACCTTCTTCGCCGCAGAAAGCCAGTTTGCCTTGAACTGCTGCTCGCCCTTAGCAGTTTTTTTGGTCTTCTTTAGGTTCCGCTTGACAATAGCCCAGTATTTCTCAATTGGGCGGAGCTCTGGCGTGTTGGGAGGGTTCTTGTCCTTGGGAACCACCTGCACGTTGTTGGCGGCGTACCACTCCATGGCCTTTTTACCGTAATGGCAAGATGCCAAATCCGGCCAAAACAGTACGGAACAACCGTGTTTCTTCAGGAAAGGCAGCAGACGTTTATTCAAACACTCTTTCACGTAAATTTCTTGGTTGACAGTCCCGGAAGCTATGAAAATGCTGCTTTTCAAGCCACAGGTACAGATGGCTTGCCAAACCAGATATTTCTTTGCGAACTTTGACAGTTTCATGTGCTTGAAAACATCTGCTACCTTTCCCCTTCCTTTTGCCGTATAAAACTCCTGTTCCGGAAGCTGCTTGTAGTCGGCTTTGACGTAGGTTTCGTCGTCCATTACCACGCAGCCAAACTTCGTCAGCATCGTCGTGTACAGCCTCCGGGATCGCGCTTTGGCCGTCGTATTTTGTTTATCATCGCGATTTGGAGTCACTACCTTCTTGTAAGTCGATAGTCCGGCTCGTTTTTTGGCTCGATGCACGGTTGTAGACGATACACCCAGCTTATTTGCGGCATTTCGGAGAGAGAGGTTAGGGTTTCGCTTGAAACTACCGGCAACTCTCTTTGTCGTCTCAGCGGCTTCCGGTTTTCGATTTCCCCCCGATCCAGACTTCCTGGCTGTCGACAAACGTTCCCCAAACACTTTAATTACATTTGTAACGGTTGATTTGGCAACTTTTAGCGATTTTGCCAACTTTGCGTGCGAGTAGCTCGGATTTTCGCGATGCGCGAGCAAAATTTTGATACGCTGCTCTTCTTGCTTGGACGGCATTTTGACAACTGAAGAGTGAATTCCAAAATCAAAATAGGAGCAACATTCTACACACACACACCTTCAAAATGAGGGGTGTTCCGGTTTTTTAAATGCAAAATTGAAAGAAATACGTCAAGTTGATATTGACCAAATTTTGACCGTATCACCCTTTAGAAAAAAATAAAGCCGGTTTCAAATCACTTAATCGGATTCCATCAAAAGCTAATAAGACAGTATTTACCTTCGACGCCGCACCGCGCTTTGGTGGTATCTGAAACGAGAAAATACAAATAGTTTCATTAGCAAAACGTTAGCACCATCTGTTCGAAACTAAACAGAAGAATTAAATTCCTCTCCGCGAGGCTTTTGAATTTCTTCGAATCAAACAATCTCATCAAATAGTCTTTTGGTCTCGGAAATTTTCCCACCTACCTAAATGGAAATCGCGATGCTCGTTATGGAAAAACGGAAAATTCTAATTCACGTCGCAATCAGACCAGGCTCCAGGCACGTCACCGAATATCTATTATGTTAACGCAATTAGGTAGTCGGGCGTCTTTTCTCACGCCCGCTACCTATAACAAGTCAGTGCAAACTCAGACCGAAGATCGGAGGAAATCATTAATAGACCACCTCGCAAAAAAGCTGCGTGGGTTGTGTGCTATCGATTGAACGTGTGAATACAAATGTTTCTTTAGATCACACGGACTTACACAGGAACCCTGGAGGCATCAGCAATCGATTTAATTTTAATGTTTAATTTTCTGTGAGTCAAGGTATGGTTATAAAAACTCTTCTAGCTGATTCAATATGGGAAAAATGTTGTAGAACTATCCCTCTTTTTTTCTCCATAAACCGCTCTCGAACTGGTCAACCAGCATTCCACACTTTTCAAACCAGCCGGGTCCGAAACGAGGCAGCGCCAGCGTGAGAGTAAACATTTAAACAAAAGGTTTCTGTTTGAGTTGGATGCCAAGTGGAAGTAGGTCCCTTCTGGGCAACTTAAATTTTGGGAGGGGGGGAAAAGGGGTTGGTTGTTATCTCACTGGACTGAACTGCAGGGACACAAAGGGTCTAGTTTTCATCTTGAAGGGTAACAGTAAAGTAAGCAAGACAAAGCGACCGGAACAGTTTAATCTTTGAAACAATCACTTTGCCCTAGTGGGGGTGGGATCTCAGAACAGGACAATGTCAAGATTGATAGATGGATACAATTTGGAACGGGATGATACTCAGGTTTGTTTGATTTTCAATTTGTGGCTGGACTTGGGTTCGATTTCTGTTATGCCATCACGAGCAGAGTTGGAATACATTTCTATTGAAGGTGTTCTGCTATACTTTCCGTACAGCTTTGGCTGAGCCACTAATGAGCCTCAGGTTTTTAATTTTAGAGCAAACCATTCGTAATATAACCTGAAGTGTCAGATTATTACCTCAAACGTGTATTACTTTGTTTATTCGATTAGCTATTCGTTGTTTAGAGTTTGTCTGCGAACATGACCTTGTAGTCGTATGTTTTGGGAAATAATAACCAACATTGCATGCATTGAAAAGAGTCCATCAGCTTTTGTAAACACATCTTCTGACAACCTTTATTCGTGAATTGGAGCTAGCCTATGTAAACAAACAGGATCATTGGAGAAACTCTGGAAAGAGGAAACTCTCTACTACCCGATGATGTTGATTACCTCTGTACTCTCTAATATCAATGCGCAAAATCCACAGAAGACTCCTTAGCATGCCCTAGACCAAACATGCATCTGGGCGCAGAAGTTCATCGAAACTTTGATATTCATTTTCATTTCTTTATTTAACGTCGGTCTCTGTTCCGCAATCTAGTACCAATCACCGACGGACATCGATTGCCATCCATTGACGCCAATCGAATGTGCAGGAAGGCAGTTTCCACACCTGCGTAGGATATCGCACCCATTCCAACAAACATGGGCCGGGACCAACGGTTTAAATTCCCTTCCGAAGGAAGACGTGACCAGAGATTTTTATGCCTCAGAAAGATCACAGCGACCTCGGATGGGATTAAACCCAGACCCATTGGGGTGAGAAATCAGTCACGCTTACCACTACACCACCGGCGCCGGCAGAAGCAAAATTGGTAATCCCCGTTTTGAGTGTATCCTTCTGGCAGATTATCACTGGAGAAAATCGCATTTCCATTTGTTTATATTTATCAACCATGGCCATGCGGGAGAAAGATTTAATAACACATTTGCAAAATCTTGAACCGTGTCAGATGTTCAATAGCCTTTAGCAGTTCGGAGTGAGTATGTATTTTGTCTTTCTGTGGTAAGCAAGGAATCAAAAATATCTCCAAATGACAAAATGACAAGCGATCAACGAACCAAATGATAACGCTATGTCAGAAGTGGAAAGCAATAATGATATAATCTTCTTCCTTTTTTTCATGTCAAGCAGCCCGTGCGACACAGCTCACTCCGGGTGGTAGAAGGAAACGAGCAAAATGTTGGCAAGCTGCTTCACGAAGTAAAGCCGAAGATGATACACGTGTGTTGAGGTGTTTCGCTGTGAGATCCTTATTCTCATAACCACTTCGAAACTTTAAGTGCACAAATATCAGCTTCCTCGAAACGCAACACATTGACTGCAGCATACATGAAGTAGCAATTTCAAGTGAAATGGAGCATTAATTTCCGAGATTTGTGTAATTGAAAATTTGTAGCGGAAGTGCATGTATAGCCTACGTGGTGGCCATTTGTGGACTCTACAAGGAATCACCTTAATGGGATTTTTTTGTTATGTCTTTTCTCGATTCAGATCACGCTATGTCCTCGTCCATGTATATTACAACAAAGCAGGCAAGCAATATAGGTATCATTATCCTTCTTCCACTCCGATCGAGCTATGATACAGAGCGAGTTTGTCATGGTAGTCGTAGCAACCGTTTTATCTGTTCGTTGGTTGCTTAATATGTTTGGATTCGCTGGTGGTAAGTGATGCGATCGGTTGGATAAAGCAGAATTCGTTTTCATTTAAATCTAGTGGTGATCAAGGGGCAAGACAGCTTTTGAACATGAGTAAAATCAGAGTTAATTTTGAGTAACTCTGAGTAACTGTGAGCAACTCTGAGTAACTTGCGTTGAACAACATCCAATACACATAGCAACCTGATTTTTAAGTAGTTATCTGTCATATTTTTCAACAGTCAATTCATAAGCAACTGAAAACTGTTGCTTAAGTTCTTCTGGATGTGATACTTATGGTGCTGTTGAGGAATTTGCTGAATTATATAATTTTGTCCAGGATATCGGTGTTACAGAATGTATGAGTGGTTACGATGATTCAAGACGACCACCAGGTCTGAGTCAACGGATACCGTCACCGAGCTGTACTGTTTTAAGATTGTGGCTTGTGGTGCCGTTTGTATCTGCTTTTCTGAGTATTAAGCAGTGGTGGGAGGAACATTTTCACTTTGCTAAATTCCCATGAGTTGCATTAGGAATTGAGTCCACCAATAAGGATTTTCAGCTGACGAAAATCAAATTTCCCGGAACTAAACTGACAGGCAAAGTTTAGCACTGAGCTCTTCTGGGATTCTCCGCAAATCCTATTTTAATACACTGAGTTTTAACTCAAGAACGGATAGTGTCCATACGCCAACATCATTGGCTCATAAATTGAAATTCATCGCAACAATTGGAATTTGACTTTCTTCTCATTCTTCACAAATTATGTGAAAGAAATGGGTGATGAAAACAGAAGTAGTATTCAAAAGCACAAGGAACGTCACCACGAAGCTCATATCCCAGAAGGAATAGAAACGTCATAATGTTAGGGCCAGGCTTGTCCCTACCTGCCAGTAAACGGATATCTTCGGGTACAAGCTAAGCATGTCCTCGGTGCAATAGATAGGTGCAGTAGATGACGTCTGTTTCGATTTTTCATTGAAGGTTTGTATTTTTTGAAAAAAGCGAGACTACTTTGATCAGTATTAAGTTATTATGAGTTGCTTAAATTTACTCGCAGCAAAACTATTTGATCTGAGTACGGCTGACTTGCCCCTTGGTGGTGATAGAATATGGCAAAGTGAAAAATTGCAAGGAAGGGGACGGATCTGGCATTGAACTCCTGACCTTCTGCTCAGTAAGCCGAAACGGTATCCACAGAGCTACCAAGCCTCGACGGTGACTGTGATATTTTATATTCGGATGAAAAACTCTTCCTCCTTCAGGGCAGTCATAATTAACAAAATTATCGTGTTTATGGCAAAAGTCTTCGCAATATTTGAAGAGATAAACTAGCTGTAGAACGCTATCAGAATGTATCGAATATCATGGTATTTGGAACCATTTCACGGAAAAGAAAATTTCCTGTTATTTTCATAGAACCTTACTTAAAAATCAACACTGGATATTACATCGTGCAGGTTATGAAGAACTATCTGCTTCTTCATGCTTCAAACCTGTATGAGAAGACGCCATATTGTTTCCAACAGGACTCTGCTCCAGCTCACAAGGCAAAGAAGACACAAGCGTGGCGCACAGAAAATTTGGCTGATCAATATGGTCAGCAAAAACCATCCACGCATAATCAAGGGGTGCTGAAATAGCGTTTATTACAAAAATAAAAGACGAACTATTTTCATTAATTACATTTTGTATATTACATGACAATTTATCGGACGTGTCACTGTTTTCATCAAATAAAATAATATGCTAAAATACATCCATACATTTAAACTCAGCTTATCTGTGACTTCTAAGTGACTGTTTCCTCTGTGAACATCCCAACAAACAATCGTCTATTGAAGAAACGACTTCTTGGTCATTTTATTCAAATGCATGCTTAATAGTACTTGTACTATTTTTATAAATAACTTCTGTTCAGGCTTTGTTCACACAAATCTGGAGAATTTATTCAACCGTTTATTGAACTACTGGTGTTGTATAAGGTATGTCTAGAAGCTTTTATTCGACTTATATGAGTTGTAACAGAGTTTATACGATAAAATTTTTGATTATTCAGCGTTTATTAGACATATCTGCTTCCTTAAAACAGTGATGCTCTGTATACGCTTGATTCTCATGTGAAGTAACGTTTAATTAGACATTATTATACATTTATTAAACGATTATTCAACTGTGGGAAAATTAACCCGAAAATAAGAGGACGGGTGAAGGGTGTGTGTGTTTCTTAAGTGTATTATTGTATTTCAATATTTCTGACGTGGCTCGCACCACACAGATATCAGAAAATTTATTAAATACTTATACATGCCGTTGTATGGGATTCGAA